GTGTTTGGGGGGGGGGGGGGAACGTGCATATCTGTCCTCGCAGAGGAGGGAGAGCTTGTACCTGAATAAAACTTGGTCTTAAAGGTGCCACTGGACTGTTTTGGACCGGGGGGCTCTGCAACTTACCTGGCTGCTTCTTGCTTTGACTGAGGGCTGCTGGGAGCAGGGGGTGGGGCTTGTTGCATGTGCCTGCCCCTTGGGCTCTTTACTGCCGGAGCTCCGCTCCTGTGCGCTCCTGCAGGAAATGACCCCTGGTCAAAACTGTTAATATTAGAAAGGACAGTTTAATTAAAAGAAAATGCCCCTTTTCAGTGTGAAGACATCTTTGGCTCCATATGTGAGGTTCTAAAAGGTTATTCTAGATAGTGGCAGTCAGTGTTGATTTCTGATCTGGGAGACCTGGCTTCAAATCCCCTTACTAGATGATGCTGGGCCCGTTAGAAAGAAAAAAAGATGTGGCGATGGGGTAAACAGTTTATCCTAAACATATTTTGTGAAGAGCTAAAGCATCTGAATAGTGGCTTCCAAGCCTTTTGCTTGTCTAAGGATCTTGTTGGTGTACAGTAATCTAAAGAGTTGAAGTTGCATGCAGCAGTAAACCATAGGACAGAAGGGTGAAAAACGGTGGACTTTGGTGTTCACTTAATTTATCATCTACACTACTGGGTATTGTTCTCAGTGGAGAAATGTACATTAAGGATATTATAACTTAAAAAACCACCTAACAATTGGCCGGATCTTTATTACAGTTGATGTAGGTAGAATTATTGGCATAATCCACTTAAAATGCAGCGTGAGTCAACAGTTTGTACTCTGCATTGATGAGTAACTATTTAAGATTGTAACGTCTGAGGCATAGCCTTGTTAGGCTGCAGCAAAAACAAACAGGTGTCTTGTAGATTTAAAAATGTGGTGTCTTTTTCTACCATTAATTTTTGTGGACTCTAGGGCCCACTTTGTCAGAAGTTCGGCCTAGGAAACATCCTTTACAGATACAGGTTAGAGGTTATGAGGGTTATGCATTTCATGAAGGTTTGATCCTGCTGGTTACATCTTTTCTGGCCATGTGTACGCAATAGACAAATGTGGATCTGCATTAAGCTAACATACTACATGCGTCTGACAAAGTATTCTCTAGTCCAGAAAAGCCTGTGCCAACTTATTGACTTTTAAGGTGCCACAAAGACTGCAACCCTATACATGCTTATTAGGGTGCAAGTTTCTTTGAAAATGGTGAAATTTACTTCTGAGTAAAAATGGGGTTGGGCTGTTGATCTTGTACTAGTCTCCTGTGCTGTAAAATGGGGTGGGTGGGTGAGCACTAGCCTTCATTTGAAGCCCTTATTAATGTGTTTGGGGCATGGGTTGGTTGTATTATGTAGTCATTTTAAGCTACTTGTATTCTGTCCTGTGTCGCTCAAACTTGGATGGCATTAAATGATGTGACTGACTTCTAGAGCAGTAACAGAAAATGGTATTGATACTCAACAGTGCTCTCTCCCTCCTCCTTCAGTCCATTGATGGACTCCTGGGCAGGGTATGAAATCTTGAGTTTTGTTGAAAACAAGCCAAATTGTTGTTTCTCCAGAAAATGGCAGCTGTGATTCCTACCATAGTTTGTCTCTTGCTTGAAAATAGTCGCTTGACTGTGAGCTGTCATTCCAAAACTTTACATTCTTCTAGAAGGCTCTTAAAATTAAGCTTATGATGAGAATAGCTCACAGAAGGGAGATGGTGAGTGTGTGTGCACGTAATACAAAACATTGAAGAAAATACAGAAGGAAAAAATATGTTTGGTCAAGAAACAGTGACTTGAGACAAAAGTCTTCATAAAATGTACATGTTTACTCTCAATCCAAAGACTGACTAATACCTTATCTTAATCTTGCCCTTCCTCCAAAGTTGACCCCCCTTATTGTCACAACTTTGTGAGGTAGATTAAGTTTCTTCTGTGGTTTACTGTTGCTTGCAGGTTTGAATCTCCAGTCTGGCAAAATATCTTCTGCCTAGTGCTTCATCATGCTATCCTTTCCTCAGGTAACTCATACATGGCAAACCTGCGAGGTGGAGGTTGCCAGTGAGCTTTGTGGCAAAGTGGGGATGTGAACTGTACAACAGTGGTTCTCTGGTAGATAGCTGCTTAAATTTATATTATACCTTAGCTACAAGTGGAATTCTTGAGTACTTTTCATACCTTTATCTTTACTATAGGATAGTGAAAATGACAATATTTAAGAACTGAGGAGGTGCATTTGAAATCCCTCCTGCCCATCAATGCTCCCTCTAAGCTGTGGAGTCTTGTGAGCAAAAATTCTACTTTGTGAGCTACTGGCATTAAAGCTGTGAGCAAGCAATATGGCTACTGCATAAGATAGTATGCTCTGGAGCCACCCTTCCTGAGCTAAGACAAAAGTGTGTGAGCCGGAGGCTAAAAAACTGTGAGCTAGCTCACACTAACTCAGCTTAGAGGGAACACTGCTGCCCATTACTTAGAGAATAGTGGAATCAGCTGCAGTAGGATGTGGTTGCTAAAACTGTATCCCCCAACCCAAACACAGCCATTCTTCCACCACTATTTGCACAAGAAGTTTTGCAGATGGTAGGACCTCTTCCCTTCCCTACTCTCTTGCCTCCATTTCTTTTGTTTTTTGGGGGGGTGGGGGGAGATGCTGCTAAAAATATTTTATTTTTGCACAAGAAGTTTTGCAGATGGTAGGACTGTACTCTTCCCTTCCCTACTCTTCCCTCCATTTCTTCTTTTTTTGCGGGGGGGTGGGGAGATGCTGCTAAAAATATTTTATTTGTGCTACAAGTATTTTCTGTTGATAATAACTGTGGCCTATTTTGGAAAACAGCTAGGCATGACAAAGTCATGCAAGTGTACTTGTCCACATGAATCACACAAACATGAATTCACCATAGTTCTGTTAGAGAAGTTCTAGAAAGAGCAGTTCTTGAAAGAGCTCTCTCAGCCCTACCTACCTCACAGGGTGTCTGTTGTGGGGAGGGGAAAGGAGTTTGTAAGCTGCTCTGAGACTCTCCAATCTCTTCTGCCACAGAAGTGAGTCTTCTGTTGCCTTTCTCTGTCATTCACTGCCTGTCCTGTGTTCCAGAATACAAAACAGGATACTTACTCTTCAATCTGAAATGACTGGTTTTTCCATTGGTATTTCTGACCGTTCTTCTGTACAGCTGGGTTTTACTACAATGTATGTGCAGCTTGTGCTCCTTGTTTCTCCTAAGTCCAAGTATGGAATAAAGGTTGCACCTTCTTTGGTCTGAAGGCATTAAACTGTCGAGGACCATGCTTTAGAGGTGGGAAACATTTTCCTTGGACTAACACATCAGTTGCTGTTATGTATGACTTTGTGGCTGTTATTCAGGTGATATATGTGTTTTCCCACTCCACCACCCACCTTTTTATCAACTCTAGACCCTTTCACAGGTCTTGTGGTGTAACCTCAGTCTTTTAAAAAAACCACAGAAAGTTGAAAGATCAGATTCCTAGTTTGTTTCATACAGAGGAGCATGCAGTGGTACTCTGAAACACTTGGCCTGCAGTGGTACTCTGAAACAGTTGGCCTCAGATCCTAGTCCTAATTTTCTCTGTTTTGAAGCATAGGCATGCCAACTTGGTGCTTACAGGGGGTGAACAACTACATAGGGTAGTACTTTGCCTACATGTACAAAAATAGTCTTTACACTAGTACTATAATGTAGAACATGTTTAGGTAAAGGTTCCCTTGCTCGAAGTAGGTGTCAACTTGGTGCTTACAGGGGGTGAATAACTACATAGGGTAGTACAAAACTAAAAAGTCTTTACACTAGTACTATAAGGTAGAACATGTTTAGGTGAAGGTAAAGGTTCCCTTGCTCGAAAGCCAGTCGAATCTGACTGTAGGGTTGCGGTGCTCATCTCCGTTTCCAAGCCGAAGAGCCAGCACTGTCCGAAGACATTTCCATGGTCATGTGGCCGGCATGACTAAACACCAAGGCGCATGGAACGCTGTTACCTTCCCACCGAAGTGGTACCTATTTATCTACTTGCAATTTCTTGCTTTCAAACTGCTAGGTTGGCAGGAGCTGGAACTAGAGATGGGAGCTCACTCCATCACACCGCACACTCAGGTCTTGAACTGCTGAACTACTGACCTTCTAACAGCCTGCAGTTCAGCATCTTAACCACTTGAGCCACCACAGCCAAGTTTCACCCTCTACTGATGTGTTGGTCTATGTATCCTTTTGCATACTTTCACGGCTGCTGAAATGGATGTTACCATATATGCCTTTACACTCACCTATACAATACAATCCAACACATTTTACACTAAAATCCAATCGAGCCCCTTAGGGCTTGCTCCCACTTAAGGACTTAGGGTTGCCAGCCTCCAGGCTGGGCCTGGAGATCTTTTACAACTGATCTCCAGCTGACAGAGATCAGCTTCCCTGGAGAAAATGGCTGCTTTGAAGGGTGGACTCCGTGGCATTGTACCATGCCGAGGGCCCTCCCCTCCCCAAACCCCACCCTCTCCTTGGATCCACCCCCAAAGTCTCCAGGCATTTCCCAACCCAGACCTGGCCACCCTATACTGACTAGGCTGGTCCATTAATTCTGAGTGATCCCACCACCTATTTTCTTCTCTTCCCCCAAAGCTCAACCCTCCCAGGTCGAAACTGTAAACTATCTGTCCTCGTCCACTGAAGTCGTGCAAGAGAAACAGCTCTCCACTGGCCCAACATCCGGCAGCTGCTCTTGCAAAAACTTTTACCTATCACAAATTTTGCTCTTGAGGAAGAGGATGCGTTTTAAAGAGCTGCTCTGGATTTTAAAGCACACTAAAAGGATTTTTAGTCAGCACACTAAAAGCTTTCGCAAGGGAGGTCGCCGCATCCTCAAGTAATCGCGGAAGCTGGAGGCAGCCCAATCACGATAGAGCCCGTCTTCCCGCTCCTGCGCACTAGCGCCCGATGACGTAACCCTTCACAAGCCGGGCGAAGGCTGGCTCCACTTGCCCACAAAAGGCGGAGCTTCATGAAGTGCAAAGGCGGGGGGGAGGAGGAGGAAGAATGCTGTCTTGGTTAATTTGCGGTCGCTTCCATTGAGTTGCAGCTCCGCCTAGCTGTGGCAGCGCCTCGCCTTTCCCCCTCTGGGGGGGGGGGGACGTGGGAGGAGACTGAGCGCCCCAGTTTTTCACCTTAGAGCGGCTATAGGCCAGCCAGTGTTTGTGAAAGCAGGAGCAGCTCCCCTTGCCCCAGCGAAACGGCCACTCTGGCTTCTGCAGGCGACAGAGACCCCCCCCCATGGCGCCAACAGCGCCCCCTGCAGTAGTTTCTGTCGC